CACTTAACAGTCATGACTTTCCCCGACAAGGAAGTAGGTCTTCCCCATCTGAATCACTGCCGCCAGGACTCCTTATGGGAAAGCCAGCGCCCCTGACGCAAAACAGGACGCTCCGTGCCCCACGGACTGTGGTCACAGCAGCAGCCCGGGCTCCGGGATCCGTGTGCAGGAATTTGGAGTGAACGGAGGGTTGGTGGTTCGAGCTCACCAGCTGCTCCATGGCAGGATTTGGCAGCCTGCTTCCCTAAAGATGCCAGCCTCGGAGACCCCAGGGGGCAGTCCCGTCTGCCCTGGAGGGTCGCTGTGAGGCAGGGTCGACATGACGGCACTGGCTTTTGCTCCTTCTTGGGCTTTGCCACACGATGCTCCCTTTTTCTGGAAACAGCCTTTGTTTCTAAGACGAAGTGCGTGAAAAAGAGACAAAACCAGGAAAACGGCGAAATGCCCCAAGCGCCGTGTGCTTTTATTTCCGAGTCTCCTGCCGTCGCTGGGTGGAGGTCCAGGACGGCGCTGCCTCCTCCCGCTCTCCCCGGCTTCCCTCCCGTCTCGCTAGAACCCTCTGCACGGGGCCCGGGGAGGCCTGGTCAGGCCCCAAACAAGGTGGGAGGTTGGAGCCTGGGCCTGGGGCCTCCCGACTGCATCTCTCACAGCCGGGTGGAGTGCGTGCTTCCCACACTCCTGGGCCCGTCGAGGATCAGTGATCAATAACGGATGATTGACCGATGATTGGTGGGGTCCGTGGACTTTCCAGCCTCTGCCTTCTCCCTGTCAGCCGCCTGCTGAAGGAGTCTCTCTGTGCGGAGGGCGGCCAAGGGAGGGGGTTTGGGCGGGGGTGAAAGGGGCGAGGGGTGGGCGGGTGCCGTCGTAGAATAACGCTTTGGGCTCAGAGGCCCCTTTGCTAAGTCAGGTTCTCATTGTCCCGCAGGGGCAGAAAGGGAGGCTGCGAATGGGTCCTGAGCCCTTTGCCCTGCAGCCCTGGGCAGGAGGACGCTGAAGGCCAGCGGCAGCCCTGAGGGGAGGGGGTCAGAGTCCAAGTCATAGACGGTGGAGGGACCTAGAAGGACAGCGACCAGAACCGCCCCAGCTCCGCTGAGCCGACTCCGAGTCACGCGGCCCCCACACGCATCAGAATGGAACTGTGCTCCTGCCGTTTGCAGTAGGGAGCTCTGGTGGGCAGTGCCGGAGGCATCTGACTGCTCACCAGAAGGCTGCCGGTTCAAACCCACCAGCCACTCCTCAGAAGGAAGGTGGGGCGATCTACTGTAGTGATACCGCCTCAGAAACCCGAGGAGGGGTCGCTGTGAGTCGGGCCGACTCCACGGCACACAACAACAACGACACCAGCGGCAGCGGCTGGCAGGGCCGATGTTTCAGAAGCAGCTTGCCAGGCCTTTCTTCCGAGGTCCTCTGGGTGGACTTGAACCGCCAAGCCCTTGGTCGGCGGCTGAGCACACTCACCACCTCCAGCTCTCCCTGGGAGTCCCGAGGTCACGCTCACCTGGCCGTTCTCCCAAGGGCAGGTGTCTTCTCCTTCCTGGTGCTGCCTGGCATCCAGGCTCTGGGTCGATGCGCCCGCATGCAGGACACAGGGGCCCCACAGGGTTCCCGACCGCAGGTCAGGCCCACCGAGGGGAGTCGTTGCTCCCTGTGCTGCCCGGTGGATGGCCCAGCCCAGGATTGATGGCCGCTGAGCAGGCTTCACTGGGAGCCGCGCCAGGCGCCAGCCTTACTCGCAGGCAGTCTCTTCTCGGCCCAGCTGTGGCCGGCCGCCATCCTCGCTCCTCAGTCTCTGGGGACGTGGGGTCGGACAAGGGCACGTGTGAGAAAAGGCTCATTATAAACCTTCGGCCCCACTGCGGATGGCAGGGCTGTACTGCATGGAAAGGGGAAACGGATGGCGGCGTGAGAACTCGGAGGAGGGGCCGGCAGAGCCCTGCCTGCCCTGCTGCTGCTCCTGGGAACCCGGGGTGCAGCGAGGGTGGCTGAGGAGGGCGGCCCCGGGGAGTTTCTGGGCACCCAGGCAGATGGCTGGCAGTGGACTGGGTGGCTCAGAGCCCAGTGAGTAACCAGGAGCACCCAGGGCCTCCGGGGGGCACCGTAAGCTGGCACTGCCCGATGGCAGTTGGTTTGGTGGTTTCATTTTTTGATGCTTTTTGGGAGGGGGAGACTGAAGCCTGGCTGTACGCTACCACCTCTTCCCTTCCTGCTGGGTAGGGACCGACTCGAGGGGGTGAAGGTCCGTGGAGCTTGTGCCCAGACCCTGTGTGAGGCCCTCAGTGGTGGCTCTTGGTTTAATCCCTCTAGGAGCTCTGTCCGGCGGAGGCAGACGCAGCTGTTAAGGTGGTAACGAGTGTCGGGTGGAGGAGCCGGCGTCCACACCCAGACACGTCGGCCTGCCCCAGCCCTGCCCCCTCCTGTCAGGGCAGCCACTGTGCCTGACCTGCTGCCTACCGTCAGCTGTAAGCTGACGTCCACTTCACGCGGCCTCAGTGGGTGAGCCGAGCCGGGCCAGCTGCCTCAGTCAGCTAGGTGCTTACTCAGCAGTGCCGCCTGGAGCCTGGGGTCTGTTTTATACCCAGTGCCCCCCAGTCGGGATTGGGGCGTCTAATCCCCATACATGGAGCTCCCGGGCCTCCAGGATGGGCCCAGGAAGGGCCCACTGATGATCATGACCGAGTCGGGGAGAGACTGTGGGGTCTCTATGTGGACAGGTGAATGGAAGGCTGCCCTGTTGTCCTTGTGGTCAGTGCAAAAACCAAACCAAACCAAACTGTTGTCATCCAGTTTACTATGATTCATAGCGACCCCATGTGGTCAGAGTAGACCTGCCCCTGGGCTTTTCCAGGCTGTAATCTTTACAGAAGGCACCCTGGTGGCACAGTGGTTAAGCATTCAGTTGTTAACCAAAAGGCTGGTGGTTTGAACCCATCAGCCACTGTGGGGCAAAAGATGAGGCAGTCAGCGTCTGTAAAGATGTATAGCCTTGCAGACCCTGTGGGCAGTTCCACTCTGTCCTCTAGGGGCGCTATGGGTCAGAATGGACTCCAGGCAGTGGGTGTGGT